CTAATTTTGGGGGAGTGTAAAACACTTTTTTAGAAATTCCAAACTTTTGGAGATGTTACCAACTAGCCACTATTCATACATTTCTGGCTGACATGAAATTCCCAAACATACATGATGTTATGGCATGAGTTTGAAGTTATTGAGGTCACCAGATTTCCTGTCTCTCAACGGAAACATTTTCCCTAATGATTTCTATGATGAGGCATTATTGAGACAGATTGTTTCCTCTGAACTGTCTGTCAGTGGAACCACAGTTAAGGAATTCATAAGAACGTATCAGCATACTGCATCAGACCAAAGGTCCATCTAGCCCATTATCCTGTCCTCTGACAGTGGCCAATGCCAGATAACAGAACAGATAATCAAGTGATCCCTCTCCTGTCATCCATTTCTAGCCTCTGACAAACAGAGGCTAGGGACACCATTCCTACCCATCCTGGCTAATAGCAATTGATATACCTAACCTCCATGAATTTATCTAGTTCTTTTTTGGACCCTATTAAAGTAGTGGTCTTCACAACATCTTCTGGCAAGGAGTTCTACAGATTTTCTTCACACAGTGCACAGTCAAACTTTCTTTTATTTGTTTAAAATCCATTTAAACCTTCTGCCTATTAATTTTTTTATTTGGTGACCCCAAGTTCTTATGAGAACAAGTAAATAACTTTTCCTTATTCAGTTTTTCCACACCAGTCATGATTTTATAGATTTCTATGTATCTCCTCTTAGTCTCCTCTCTTCTAAGTTGAAAAGTCCCAGTCTTTTTAATCTCTCTTCATATGGGACCCTTTCATAGTTCAGACCAAAGGAGACTATCTTGAGCAGTTTAGTATCATCTGCAAATTTTGCCACCTCACTGTTTACCCCTTTCTCCATATCACATCATTTATAAATAGGTTAAATAGGATTGGTCCCAATATGGAAGCTGGGGGAGGAGGGGAACACCACTAGTTACCTCTCTCCATTCTAAAAATTAAACATTTATTCCTACCCTTTGTTTCCTGTTTTTAATCAGATATCAATCTGTGAGAGGGCCTTCCCTCTTACACCATGACAACTCACTTTACTTAAAAGCCTTTGGTGAGGGACCTTGTCAAAGGCTTTCTGGAAATCTAAGCACACTATCCACTGGATCCCCCTTGTCCACATGCTTGTTGACCCCCTCAAAGAACTCGAGTAGATTAGTAGGGCATGATTTCCTCTTATAGAAACCATGTTGACTTTTCCCCCAACAAATTATCTTCTTCTATGTATCTGACAATTCTGTTCATAACTATAGTTTCAATTAATTTGCCCTGCACTGACGTTAGACTTACTGGTCTGTAATTGCCATAATTATCTCTAGAGCCCTTTTATAAATATTGGCGTCCCGTTAACTATCTTTGTCATTTGGTACAGAAGCTGAGTTAAATGATAGGTTACAAACCATGGTTAATGATTCTGCAATTTCATATGAGTTTTTTTTCAGAACTCTTGGGTGAATGCCATTTGGTCCCAGTGACTTGTTAGTGTTAGTTTATCAGTTTGTTCCAAAACTTCCATGACACCTCAGTCTGGGACAATTCCTGATTTGTCACCTAAAAAGAAAGGCCAAAGCAAAGGTTGGGTTTAATTTAGTTTCTCAGCAATGACCTTATCGTTTGAGTGCTCCTTTAGCATCTTAGTCATCAAGTGGCCCCACTGGGTGTTTAGCAGATTTCCTGCTTCTGATGTGCTTAAACATTTTGCTCTTACTTTTTGAGTTTTTTGGCTAGCTGTTCTTTAAACTCCTTTTTGGCTAATTCATGCTAATGTCTTTTAGCAGTCACACACAGGACTGGTTGGTGCTTAGTTGAAAACTCATATTACAGTGAGACCAGTGGTTATTTTCTGGTCAAGTCACTCCCTTATCCCCAAACTCTTGGGCTACGTCTACACTGGCCCCTTTTCCGGAAGGGGCATGTAAATTTCACGAGTCGTCGTAGGGAAATCCGCGGGGGATTTAAATATCCCCCGCGGCATTTAAATAAAAATGTCCGCCGCTTTTTTCCGGCTTTTAAAAAAACCGGAAAAGAGCGTCTACACTGGCCCCGATCCTCCGGAAAAAGTGCCCTTTTCTGGAGGGTCTTATTCTTACTTCAAAGTAGGAATAAGAGCCTCCGGAAAAGGGCACTTTTTCCGGAGGATCGGGGCCAGTCTAGATGCTCTTTTCCGGCTTTTTTAAAAGCCGGAAAAAAGCGGCGGACATTTTTATTTAAATGCCGCGGGGGATATTTAAATCCCCCGCGGATTTCCCTACGACGACTCGTGAAATTTACATGCCCCTTCCGGAAAAGGGGCCAGTGTAGACGTAGCCTTTCTGTGAATATTAGGATCATATTCAGGAGTTACACTCCTCTTTTTTCTGAAGTGGGTTTAAAGTGGGAATTTTATACCCTCGGCCTAGACCAGTGGTTCTCAAACTTCATTGCATTGTGACTTTCTTTGGACAATAAAAATATCTACATGACTCGGGAGGTGGAGGGGAAGTGCTTGAAGCCTGAGCCATTCTGTACCCCCAGTGTGGGAGCCAAAGCCCAAGTGCTTCAGGCCAGGGGCCTGTAACCTGACTCCTAATTGGATTTTGGTCCCAAGCAAGGTACATAATGAATGTTATATGTACCAATATGGAAGTGATGTGTGGAAGGGGTGAGAACAAGAGGTTTGGTTTGTCGAAGGGGGATCAGGGATGGACACAGGATTCGGGTGGCGCTGGGAATGAGGGGCTTGAGATATAGGCCGCCCCAGGGCTGCAGCAGTGGAAGGAGGGGAGGAGGAGGCTTGGGCAGAGGCACATGTCTCTGCTGCAGATCTGAGTGCCTGCATGACCCTTGATAGTCTGTCTGCTGGAGTCTAACAGCCCTGGTAACCTCATTAAAATGGGGTCACAACTCATTTTTGGGTTCTGCCCCACAGTTTGAGAACTGTTGGCCTTAGAAGATGGATCACTGCTTATATGAATTTTAGAAAAGGAGAAGTATAAATTGGATTGAGGAGTCTGATGGGGATCCTCCGCACTCTTGACACCCATAAAAGATAATACTGAATAACAGGGTTAAAGATTTGTATATAGTTTCAGACCGTTTCATGTGTCTGTTAGGGATGTGAAGGACTAGTTGACTACTCAGCTATTTGATAAGCAAATGCTTATCGGATAGTCAACAGGCTAGTCAACTAGTCGCTTCCCCCTTCCTCCCTCTTGCTGCCCCTATCAAAAAGAGGCAGCAAGGGGAGAGAAGAGGAGGGGCTACTTCAAAGCAGCAGTGCTGCTTTGGTCCTGGGCCAGCTGGGATATCTCCAGGCTGCATGTGGCGTTTGAAAGCAGCAGTACCACGTGGCACCCAGGATGAGCTGGGGACTCCTCCGCTGACGCCGGACTCCGTGTGGTGCTTTTGCCTTTGAAGTGTAGCAACAGCCCTAGAGCTGTTGCTACACTTCAAAGGCAGAGGCACCCTATCGACTAATCGAATAGTCAATGCAAAATGCATCGACTATTCGATTAGTCAGTCGATATTTAACACCCCTAGTAACTTTGGTCAAATTTTCAGCCAGTGGAAAGCTGTTTTTAATACCAGTAATTTCCTTGTTTCTATCCATATATGTTAGAAGATTTACATTATAGGTCAGCCTGGTTCCAAGTACTTGGTTGACAATCGTCCTCAACAAATTACTGTTAGACATTCTGTTAGGTATGCCCAGACACTCTGTAAGATTTTTTTCGTAATTCTAGTTGGAAGTCTGTAAACCTACTGCATGCCATCCTAATACTGTAGTCTTCTGAAGCTGTACATGTATGTCCTTAAGAGCTGATCAAGGGGAATCTGGTATGTTCACTACAACTGTGCATTTCTGGGACAGGAATTTTTAAATGTGAGGTTTTCTTTCTTTAAAATCAGCAGGGAAGTCTAGTTGGCCTAGTCGATTATCCAGATGATGAAGAGGAAGAGGAAGAGGAGGAGACATCCCCAAGGAAAAGACCTCGTCTTGGTTCATAAAAACATTGAAATAAACTTAAATTGTGAGGTCTTAAATGCTGCAACTGTTCAAAGAGCTAAAGCGTCTGAATCAGAAAGCTTTCTCCCTTGAATATATAAGATAATACAAGGAGTAGCAAAAGAAACTCAGAAAGATTTAGTTCTGCAAACATCAAGCTTCCAAGGAACTTAATCTCTTTCTAGTAAAATAAGGAGTCTGCCATTCAGTCAGAAGGGGAGGGGGGAGGGTTAGTAATCAGAACCTGGATGACAGTGTCTCAGCAAGAAAAGTCTCAGGTTTTGGGAGGGTAAGGGGAGGGAGGAAGGTATTGCAAACAATTTTTAATATTGCAGGGTTTCTCTAGTGTGTAACAGACCTAGAAAAAAATTAAAGCTTCAGTTGCAAACCCAGTAATTTTAATTTTGTAATGGTGCTGTCCATTTTGTTATTTTAGCAATTGCCTCTTTTTAAAAATGAAGGGAAAATAATTGTATTCCCATAAAAATAAATTCAGATTTTGGGACCATTAGCTTCAAATTTAATAGTGTCTGACAGATGAAGTGAGGAGCACCAGAAAAACAATGCATGTTGAGTTGGAAAAGTGGACTTTTCAGTTCACATTTGGAAGAGGTGAGAGAAGATTTGAAGGTGGAAAAAAAGATTTGTTTTTTAAACTGAATATCCAGCAATACCTATGCCAAGGATCGGTAGTTTCCACAAATATCTCCAGAAACTGCTAGCATCAGTAACCTAATACTTTAAACTACATACAACTATAGCTAGCAGTGATTCAGGTGATAAACGGTGTTGAATTGAATACTTTGTTTTATTAATGAAGCTCCCTCTTCCTTGAGCATCAGGTGCATTTTCACATTTGCAGGTTTAAATTCTGTAATAGAGGTGGTATAAGAAACACTAACGAAGGTTTTGAATAGGGCTGAGTTTATGGCATTTAACACCCAGAAGTCATTTTGGACCAAGATGGAATAATTTCTAACAATACATCATTCTATATTTGAGGCAGAATCAGTATGCAGCACCTGAACCTGTGTGTAATATGAAAGCTGCTTTTTTAAGAGTAAAAGCACATTCCGTGTAAGTAAACTAATTGCAAAAAAAGAAAAAAAAGAAATTGATGGTAAACAGTTTAAGAGGTTTTATTTTCAAAGAGCAGCAAGTGAACTGTAAATATTTTAATGTTAATTGCCCATATATGATCTGAGATCATGCTGAAGTGAGGAAAAAACCAATCTACAATTAATGTGTCAGACGTTAAACTATGAAACCAGCTGCAATCCATCACATAGATGATCACTCTTGTAATATGTGTTATGGGTCCATTTCTCCTGAAATAGTTTAAACTGAAACAGGTTTACCTGTTTGAGATTTTGTAGTTAATTTTAATTTTAGCTATTGTTTGGAAAATATGGACTTGTCTGTGTAGATATGAAGTATAGTTTTTTTCCATAAAGCAGAAGTTTATTTTGTATTAAAAATGCCACTGTACTTGTTTTACACCATTTGTATACATGTGGTGATATTAATGCTGAACTGTAACATTCAGGAATTAAAATGTGACCCTGTAATTCCATAATTATTGCTTTTGTTTGGTTTGTTGTACATGGTAAGTTAACTCATAATTTTGAATGTGGCCCATTTTAAAGTATTCTTTACTAAGACAAACTATTCATGCAGTTTTAAAACAGTTATTACATACCACTAGATCAAATACCAAGCAGAATGCAGGAGTTCTTACCAACCAGTAAGCTAGACACAAAGCATTCTGATTTGAAAATTAATGCAGGTGGACCTGGGGGAATTATTGTTACCCCTTGTGGGCTCCAGGCAACCAAGAATGAGGCCTTTCCTCTTACCCATTTGGTAAGATAGCCTCCAACTAAAAGGCAGTGACTAAGGAAGCTGGTTCAAGTGCGATTGGAATATCGTTTACCATATGCTTGCTCTCCAGATCTCCATTTTTTCCCCCTGACAAATCGTGTCTTTCTCTGCTTAAAAAGACAATTTCCTACTACACAACTACCACTAAGAAGGCTCCCAAGTGATGCAGTGTGCCTTTTCCCTTCAGAGGCTTGAAAACACCTGACCTCAACCCAAGTATTTTCCTAACAAAAATATCCTAAACAAAGTTTTTGATTAAAAAGTTTGTTTTTCTTTTTTCTCTTTTCCCTTTTGAAGAATTGCCAAGAGCTTTAAGGATAGATTCAGATCAGCTCATGAGCCTTTTTTCTATAGCAAATATATGAATGTTGTGAATTTTTTATAGTTACGCTAGAAGAATAAAACTTTATGAACAGACATTTGATGTCATCTTAAGGTTTGAACATTTTTATCAAACTTTTTAAATCCCCTTTGGAGGGTGACATATGGAGCTCCCACTCAAACTGGCTAATATCCAGGGTCACCTGCCTCAGGCAAAGTTCATTTATCTATGAAGAATTATATTCTGTCTGCATTCAGCTAGGGGACAGACACATTCTAATGCCTGGGGCCCCTCCACTACAGATTTAAAAAAAATACATCTGCCAACATGTATCAGTTGTTATAAATACTATTTTAATAAAAAGTTACATGAAATGTTGATTGATTGGGTGGTTTTTTCCTCAGTTATGGTTGCAATCAAGCACTGTTAGTGATGAATCCTTACATTTTACAGCCTCTTTGCTGAGAAATGTTCTAAGCAGTATTTATGGCCAGACAGTATAGTAGTCTAGTGAACAAAACTGCAAAAATTTATTGGAATTTTGAGTTCTTGGACTAGATTGTGTTTTCACACTGTACTTAACTGAGACAAATATTTACTTTTAAAAGTTGTAGTTTGCTACAGGCTACCACCATTAAATTGGTCCAAAAAAGCTTATAAAAACAATGGAATATATAGTTACTATGAAATGTGTTTCATGCAGGATAGATTGATTTAAATCACAATTTAAATTAAAAAAAAATGATTGGAAATAAAGTTTCCAAAAAAGCTAAAACTGACAACCCATTGAACTTACTGGCACTTACGTTTTTTAATAAAACAATTATAGAATGGGTTCCCTTGGAAAAGCTGTTATACTGAAGTAAATCAGAAATAGACTTATGGCATTACCATTGTGGTCTGTGGCCATGAAGTCCAAAATAAGGAGCATGTATTATGTAATATAAAATGATAGTGGCAACTGGTGACTTGAGATTTCTCTTACTGCAGCTTTCTGTGCTGTAAACAGGTTGAACCTGTTTAGTTTGGCACTGTCTGGTCTGGCAACATCCATGGTCGAGCATGATTTTAGTTCGCCAAATAGAAACTAAGTTTCCCACAGTCTCAATAGTTTTGCAGCCACCAGTTCTGGCTCTGTGTTTTTGTACTTTTGTTTGTCTAATTTTTACTCCTTAATGTCTTCTAAGAGCCCAGTAAGCAGCAGAAGTGTTGGTAATGCTTCTAGACAATATTGATCTCCTGTGGTTCAGCAAATTCTGTTTTGGCACTGCTCAGGTCTGGACTGGACTGGAGACATTCATCCTGTACTTGGATGACAGATTCTAAACCTAGTTAATTAAACAAGCCATAAGGATTAGCTAAACCATTTTTTTCTAGCAACATCCAACATAGCAAACAGCTTGTAAATTTACTTGTCAAATCGTACTTTTATACTAAAAGGCATAGTGTCTCAAAGAATAATGCACTGCAAAGTTGATCCACATAGTCATATCCACATCATTTTCTCCCTATAAGCAGTTTCCCTTATGATGGTTCATTCTTGCAACTAGGCCCTGAATCCTCATCTTGCACTGCTTACACTTGACATGTTTTCCTTTATCCAGGTAACACATTTCTTCAAAATATTCCCAGAAAAGATGTCTTTCACGCCCGGAAGCCATGACAGTTTTTCTATGGCAAAGGTGTGGGAGGATATAGAAAGCGCTGTGTGTGCTGAATATCTTCCCTTTTTCTTTCCAGTCCACTCTACTGTTGCTTTCTATTCTGCTTTCGTTATTTCCTATATATTGTCTCTGTCTTAAGACAATGTCTGAAGACATACTCCAATTCCTCTGCCATGCTTGGCCAAAGTTGTCCAACACATAAGCACAGAACAAAAACAATCCTATCCAGTGAGTGTCTGTCTTTGCTCCATGTTACTTTTTAGTCTGCTGAGAAACAGAAATTGAAAGGCCAGAACTTTCAAGAAGCAAGAACTGGTAGTTAGGCTGGACAGACTAGAGCAATTAATTCACTCTTATGAGACATTAAATGTGTGTATAGCATGTTTGTGATGAGATGTTATCTGTTACTCTTAAATAAGAAATTTGGTGTTTTATTGGTTATTTTAAAAACAAATCCAATTTAACTAAAATTTAAAAAAAAATCTGTGATTTTAAGCCACCCCAGTTTCATGATTCCAGAAGCTTTATCTGCATTTCCTGTGTCTCAAACAACTCTCAAGATGGCATTTCCCTTTTCGTTAATTTCCTTTTAATCACAGACTAATAAAAGGAAGACAAACCAAGTTTTGTATTTCAGTTCCCTAACCAAGAGGTGTAAGATTTCTTTAGATGGTGTTTCCCACATTCTAGAAATGTTCATAATGTGTTGCGAGGGGGGTAAAGAATCCATCAACCTGTAGAGATGTTTGTTCTGTTTTATAGAAAATTGTCAAGGTATAATTTTAAATAAGTGGCTATGGCAAAGCTTTACAAAAATAGATGTCTAAAGGCAGGACCTTACATCCTTATTGCACAGGGGCAATCTGATTCATGGCTAGAGTTCCTAGGTGTTCTCTGATAAGATACATCATAATTATTGAGATGCTGCCTAAGTAGGTAGCCTAATCTTCTAAAGTGCTAAGTACCCAATAGATCCCAGAAAAGTCAGCACTTTAGAAAATCTTGGCCCACTGGATAAAGGTGAGAAATCAAGTTTCTACTGTGGATGCAATTTAGTTTTAAATATGTATATGAAGAATTGAGTTGTTTTTTTAGAAAAACAAGATACTGTATTTGAAAGCAAGCAGTTTATGATTAAATAATTTATTCTAAAATGAATTCAGTTCTTGTCCAAGTATTCTTACATTGAGATTCTTAACGCTTATTAATAACTTCTTCTTTAAGTTTTGCTGCAAGCATTCTCCTCTTTAGCAGTCTTTGCTTTTCCTCTTCTGACATTTCCTAAAAACAAAATTAAAATTACTACATTACAGCATAACCTCTCTAGCTGCATAGAAAATTATGACTTCACTACTAAAAATCTACTGAACTTTCATAGGTCAATTCAGGCCATAAGCAACAGGTTGGTTGGTTTTTCACTAGAGCTGAAAGTTAAATATTAATGAAATAGAAATAACTGGCAAAAATTGCAATTTTGGCCGCTTCCTAAAGCTCAAGATGGATGATAACAATGGCTTACGGGTCCCCTGTAATTTTCAACTGGGGACCACATTGACCCCATCTGCAGATCTCATCATACTACTAGACTAGAAAATAAATGGTACTGAAATAATTATATTTGTAAGATATTTTGCACTTCCCTCGAGTCAATTTTATAACCAGTTATGCTGAAGGTATCCCAGTATACAGACTAAATGTAACTAGTAGGGATGTCATCATGATGCATTATGTGATGGCTTCAAATATGAGATTAGGGTGGGGGGGAACCTTGAAGGCTAACACATGTTTGTAATATCTTAAGGAGCTAGTTAGTAGGGCTTTCTGCCACACAGCTGTGTGCATAATTCCACAGTTCTTCTTTAAAGCAATTATATGGATAATATTCTATCATAAGCTCTGAAAAAAAGCAATCCCTCTTTCTGCATAAAACACAATTAAACATTCCAAGTGTTTTTCTTTCCTCTGAAGTATTTAGTATAAATCACTGTTGGAGATCTGTGGCTTTGATCTTGCCATAGTGTGGTCCCTCAAACCCATTATTCTCCATCAGAAATATAAAAGCTATTTGGGCAGGAGAATTCTTTTTGCCTGTAAGTCTAACTCTGCCCTCTTCCCCCACCCCTCCCCCCTGATTCCTCTGGAGGAAACAGGCTTCCTTTGAAGTAAGTCATGCTGCTCCTTAACTGTTTAGAGGAGCTGAGCTGGGTGACAAGTTAATTCAAGTATAATAAAACTGCCATTAATTTTTAAAAATGTAGAAAGTTCTATTTACTTTGATCTGCATTAAGGTGTTTATAATGACTATCTTTTACAGTCAGTTAAATCAGATTTTAAACTTGTCATGATTGCCTGGAGTACTGTATTAGTCCTCAATTAGATTGTACTGCAAGGCAATTGTCTTTGAATTGTCTCAAAGAATTATATAGACAAAGTGCTTCCTGTTGTTTTGGAGGCTGGGGTCAACTAGATCAGTGTTTCTCAACCAAGTGGTATGAGTATCTTTAGGGGTACTTGAGAAAGGTCTGGGGGGCACATCAACCGAAATTTGAAGAAAACTTAATTTTTGTTAAGTTTTACAGTGCTTTATTATTTTGTACTTTTTACACCCAAAAATTTCATCACTTACCTGGCTACAATTAAGTTGTTTAAACAAATCTGTTGCAACGATAGAAAAAATTTTTGCATGTCTGAAAACTGTAGGTACTGGGGGTACTTTATAAAAAAGGATTCTGTCACCAGTTCCAATTACAGGAAAAATGCTTTCTGTTCTCCAGGCATTGTGTTTCAAAAAGCTTAGGGAGACAAATGGGGCAGACGGCTTTCGAGTGGTCTGTTAACAGACTTTGGAATACAGTGTACACTGACCAATACTATTGTCTTAGCTTAGGAACAAATGTGGTTATGGATTCTTGAATTCCCAACAGTATGGCTAATCAAGCAGCTGTACTGAAAGTACTGAATTCTCCCATCTTGTTTCTTGAACTGTTTGTTAGCTAACTTTCTATTATGTATCACAGCCAGCATTGATGTTTACATGCAAGGGAGGTTTGCTGTTTTGTCATCAGGAATCATTGGTCTCAGGTTAACATCTCTGTCATCTAAGAATTTTCTCAACTTTATCCTTAAGTCTCTGCTGAATCACACCGCAACAATTTCCTTGTTTCAGCCATTCTTGCACCATTAAACTCCATTTGTGTGCATTCAAGAATGAAACAGATCTTTTTCTCGCAAGGCAACTTCTAATATATGATAAGTCAAAATGAAGTATAGGGCTTAGAAATATAGGAACTGCTGCACCAGAACACACACAAGCCTTTTAGATTAGTTTTGTGGCTGAAAATAGCCATTAATTGTCACTACACAAGACAAAAGCTAATGCAATGTATTAGTACCTATAAATATGTCTAGAGTGCAATTAAAAAGCCATAGGTGGCCTATGTCACCTGACTCAGGCTTTCAGGGCTTGAGCCAAAGAACTATTTATCTGTCATGTAGATGGTCAGGTTCAGTCTGGAGCCAAGGCTCTTGACACTGAGGTGGGAGGGTCTCTCACCTTGGGCTGCAGTGTGAGTCCAAACATTTACATGGCAATTCATCAGCCCCTTATTCCAAGCCCCTTGAGCTAGAGTGAGCTCAGATGTAGGTGTAGACATTCCCTAAATGTGCTTTTACCACACAGCAGGTATTGACCTCAGCTAATAATAATTGATAATTAACTTTATCAGAAGTAGTGTACAGCTGATGCTGGTAGTGTACATCTTTCTATCAAACTAAGTAATTTTTTAAAAATTTCATGGAACTCACTGATGCAGAATACTTATGGATCAGATGCCCTAAGAAGGAAACCGGAGGTCTAATTTAAAATCCTTAATACAGAAATGAAGGTGTAAATTATTCTCTACTTGGACAAAGCAGCAAATGGGGTGGAAAACCAACCTATTCCAGCATTCTCTTCAGTTCCCTTACAAATTCACAGTCCTCATTTCCCCCTTCTTCAGTGGAGACAGCTGAAGCATCAAATTATTTTATCAATATTTTAAATTTTATTAATCACAAAGGAAATGTTTGTACTCTTAGGTTATGGCTACACTGTTGGTTTTTTCTGGAAGAAGATATGCAAATACTAGTGCAATTTGTGTATCTTCCTATTCTTATTGTAGAAGAAGTTTTGCTACTATTTGGCCCCATGTAGCTGGGGAATAAGATCCTCCGGAAAAGGGCGCTTTTTCCGGAGGATCGGGGCCAGTGTAGACGCTCTTTTCCGGCTTTTCTAAAAGCCGGAAAAAAGCAGCGGACATTTTTATTTAAATGCCGCGGGGGATATTTAAATCCCCCCGCGGATTTCCCTATTACGATCTCTGAAATTAACATGCCCCTTTCGGAAAAGGGGCCAGTGTAGACGTAGCCTAACTGTCTTAATGATAGGAAATATTAGAATCAAAGAATAATAGGCCAGTTACAATAAAATCACTTTGCTTTTTCATGGTTCTAACTCTCAGGAGATTGCTTTCAACACAAAAGCCTAGATTTTTCATTCATGGCAAAAAGATGGTAGTACCCAAACTTCCAACCTCCTTGCCTTAATACTGCTGCCTCTTCCACCAGTAATTGAGGTTACAGTGGATTTCCTCATTTGAAATACAATTAAAACATTTCACAAAGTCTCAAAAAAATGGAACTAATCAAACTTAACCTTCTGTAAAACAGCACTTCTCAGAAAATACAAGCTGGAGATGCTGATCATGAACGTTGTTTTTCTGAGTGGTAGCACAAATATAGCTAACGCTTGAGGGAACCAATATGCACAGTCACATCTCTCTAGCACATGGGAGTAAACTGTCAATGAAACAATTTAACTACGTAAAAGAACTCAGAGCATGGATTTATTATGAAGATTTACCTTTGCAGAAAAAGTATTCAATGCTCACGTAATCATTAAGCTTTCTGCTTCTTATCTATACTGGTTTTAGATTGCAGAACTAATTTCTGCACATCGAACAACATGCAATGGAATATGTTCTGTCATTAAATTTTACCACTTTTTGCTTGTTCATGTCCTGTTTCAATATTTAGCTGCAATATCCATATCGTCATTGAAGCAGTCTGATTTTTCTAAACAAGATTAGTCATGCTGATTAAAGTGTTCATCCTTCACCTCTTTAGAAGATAATTGCTCTTCTTTCTGATCTATATTTGGTGTTGGCAGATTATTTCTTGAGTCCTTCTTCATAGCCATCAGTTTATCTCGCTTCTGTTTTAAATAGCCTTCTCGTTGTCTGAGGTGGTGCAGTTCAAGCTCTGATAAATTCTGGAATTATTTAAAAGGCAATTTTACTAGAAAACTCATTTCAGAGTATACCAGTTACGTATTTATAAATGAAGGTATAGGGAATTCACCTAATACATACCTGGTTCTAGAATGACTGGTCTAACAAAACTAATTAACTTGAGTTAAGGTGCTTAACTCAGTCGTCCATATTACATGATAGACAGAGATGCTAAGAAATTGTCAAAAGAATAGCAAACGCCTAAATGAATTTTATTCCAAGGCTAAGATCAAGGTCTAGTTTATGCTGAATTGTAGTTTTCTGCAAATTAGATCACTGAATACACTGAAAAATTACTTGCATAATGGTACTTTACATAAAACAATTCTATCTGGTAAAATGTTACCATAACATGAAAATATATATTATATAATAGCTATTCAAATAACTTAGGCTGTGTCTACACTGCAGTTCTATTTCGGGATATATATATTTTGAAACATAACAGGCTCGCTATTCTGATGTCCTTGTAAACCTCATTACATGAGGAATAAGGGACATTGCAGAATAGCAATTTATTTCGAATTAAGTGCTGTATAAACAGTGCCAAATTTCAAAATTAGCTATTTTGAAATATCAAAATAAGATACACAATTTGCATAGCTCAAATTGTGTATCTTATTCAAATTAAATGGAATAAGCCTGTTACTTACAAGCCCCTCAGGCCCAGCTTCTCTTGTTGCATTCTCTGAACAATTTCCAGTTGTCTTTTTCTTAATTTCTTCTTTCACTTTTGTAGATTCAGAAGGCTGCAGAGGAGATTTTGTCACTCTTAGTAGATGGTGCACTGGACTTAAATCTTCCCTAATATATTTCTTTGTTTCTTCTAGACAGCAGTTGTACATAGAAACAAATTAGAAACATTATATATACAAACTGAAAAATGTAAGAACATAAAACTTAATACTGAATCAATGCATAAAAACATAGTTAAAACAACTTTTGTGAAATAAGATTTCTTTGTTATGGTTTAACTAGCACATTTGCCTGGAGTTGCTCAGATCCTTAACTCAGAGTTGGTTGTTGGGGGGGAGGGGGGGGGGTTAATAAAAGGAAAATGTACATGGTCTATTTAAAGGATTGTATTTTTCAAAAACAGGGAGCAAGGGGGAAAATGCACAGCTCATCTGCCCTTTACACTCCCCAGCCAGAGTAAGGAATGCTGCAAACTGCACTTTTCCCTTCCTCCCTGATTAAAGGGAACAGCCAGCAATGTTCCCATACAAATCTGGGGTAGTAGCAGACAGCTTCAGCCCATCTTCCCTCCCTCTAAAGGGCACCAGGGGTGTGTGTGGACGGTTTGGGGCAGTCCCAGATCAGGAGGGACCACCCCAGCCAGCCCCTTTCACCTGCTTAGTGAACTTGTCTCTTTTCTGTATGGTTTTATTTGAAGCAATCCCATTCCAGGCTAGGGATATCACTGGTTAACCAATGGCCCAGCCAGGCTGCAGAATCCCCTATTAAAATCAGTTAACAGGTTAAACGTTATGTTTAACTAATTAAATGGGATTTCATATCCCATTTTCCAGGCACAATCAAACCCTTTACATTGCTTTAAGTTATAAGAGGAAGCTCTATACCAAATTTGGTGATCCTAGGTCATAGGGTACATCTACACCGCAGTGTTATTTCGGAATAGTTATTCCGAAATACCATAGCCCACACATCTACATTACAAGCAGTCATTTTGACATATCAAAATGTCGAGCTAGAGGACTTCTTTCTTCGATTCCTTTAACCCTCTTTTTACAAGAAGTACAGGGAGTTGGAGGAAGAGTGCTCTTCTTCGGATTTCCTGTTATGTAGACAGCACCAAAAGCTGAATTAAGCTATTTCGACTTAAGCTACGCAATTGACGAAGCTGAAGTTGCGTAGCTTATTTCGGCTTTAGCCCTGCTACATAGACTTCCCCTTAGTATTTGGAAGAAGTTCTTGAATGAACTTTCTGAAATATATAGTACATTACAAAAACAGCTTCCTTAATAATGTATTTTGCTGAAACACTATATTCATCCTAATATCTAAACACTATGGTTGCGTCTAGACTGGCATGATTTTGCAGAAATACTTAACGGAAAAACTTTTCTGTTAAAAGTATTTCCGCAAAAGAGCATCTAGATTGGCAAGGATGCTTTTGCGCAAAAGCATCCGTGCCAATCTAGACGCGCTTTTGCGCAAAAAAGCTCCGATGGCCATTTTAGCCATCGGTCTTTCTTGCACAAACAATTAAGGTGCCTATCTACACTGGCCCATCCCTGAGCGGGAGCGGGAAAATATTTGCGCAAGAAGCACTGATTTTGTACATTACAAAGTCAGTGCTCTTGCGCAAATTCAAGCGGCCAGTGTAGACAGCTGGCGAGTTTTTGCGCAAAGCGACTGCTTTTGCACAAAATCTTGACAGTCTAGAAGCACCCTATTTCTGTTACAAGAACAGGAAATGGGATTGTGTTTGGACAGGGTTATTAGCTTCAGGAAGAATTGCTGAACAGACAAAGGAAAGGAAAGGATATGCTAGGAACAAATGAGACACACAATAAAAGCCAAGGAGTACCTATACGGTGAACACCGATTAAGGAAAAAAAAAAACAGTTGGAAGGTAGGAAGAGATTTTTTTTCCCTGTTAGAACTGTCTTAGGAGTAAACGGCTTGGAACTATAAGATAGAATTCACTACCAGACTTCATCAAAAGTATGGATACCAGCAGCAAGGAAATCATACAGAATCCATCTTTGGAAAATACATATATATACACCTCAGACTATCAAAGCAATACTGTAACTACGGTTCAAATAAATAGTATTTTGGTCCATCCCAATCATTGTTAGCAATGAGCTTATGGCAGCCATAGGAGGGTCATCAATGTCCATCCAACTTCTGAATTTACACTTGCAAGATAAAGCTGCAGGGACTAAGTTTATCTCTGATTCCTGGAAGAGAGAATTCACAACAAATGTGCTCATTCTCTAGGGAATGCTACAACAAACCCATGAATTCAAAGTAGACAAAGTCTCTCAAATGTGTTCTCCATTATGATCCAAGCTGTTCAGCATTGTACTTTCTTGCCCAGGCAGTAGACAGAATGGCTGTGTCTAGACTGGCCAGTTTTTCCGGAAAATCAGCCACTTTTCCGGAAAAACTTGCCAGCTGTCTACACTGGCCACTTGAATTTCCGCAAAAGCACTGACTTCCTACTATACGAAATCAGTGCTTTTTGCAGAAATACTATGCTGCTCCCATTCGGGCAAAAGTCCCTTTTGTGCAAAACGTTTGCGTAAAAGGGCCAGTGTAGACAGCTGAGATTTGTTTTCCGCAAAAAAGCCCCGATCGTGAAAATGGCGATCTAGACGCGCTTTTCCGCAAAAAAGCCCCGATTGGCCACGAACACTTTTCCACAAAAAGTGCTTTTGCGGAAAATCGTCCGTGCCAATCTAGACGCTCTGTTCCGAAAATGCTTTTAACGGAAAACTTTTCCGTTAAAAGCATTTCCGGAAAATCATGCCATAGCTCTCATATTCCTCACTGGAACCCAAAACCTGTTCCAAACCCCAAATACCACCTTACTTTCTGAGACCTAGATCTCAGGTCCTTATAATACTGATAGCTGAAGCTTTTTAGGTTCTTCTTCGAGTGGTTGCTCATGTCCATTCGAAGTAGGTGTGCGCACCGTGTGCACCGCGTCTTCCGGAGCGTTTTCCCTAGCGGTACCCATAGCGCTGGCAGGTCGCCCCCCTGGAGTGGCACCGCCATGGCAGGGCATAAGTACCCCTGCGGGCGCTGCCTCACCTCAGTTCCTTCTTACCGCCGTGACGGTCATTGGAGCGTCTCTATCTCTCTTAGTCTCTTAGGGTACGTCTACACTACAACGTTAATTCGAACTAAGCTAATTCGAACTAACGCGTCTAGAACTAAAAACTAGTTCGAATTAGCGTTTTGCTAATTCGAACTAGCAAGTCCCCATTGAGTGGACCCGGAACAGGGCTTAAGGATGGCCGGAAGCAGTGCCGGCAGGGCATCAGAGGAGGACTTAGAGCGTGGAGATGCTGTCTCAGGCTAGCCGAGGGCTGCGCTTAAAGGGTCCCGACCCCCACCCCGGACA